ACTGGTACACGGGGTTGTTCTTTCCCAGATGAAAGACTCGACACCTGCCCTTGCTGTAGTTCATTAAATGTCTCCCCGCCCAGCTCTCCAGCCTGTCCAGGTCTCGCTGAATGGCAGCACAACCTGCTGGTGTATCAGCCACTCCTCCCAGTTTTGTGTCATCAGCAAACTTGCTGTCGGTGCACTCTTTTTCCTCATCCAGGTCATTGATGAATATATTGAATAGTACTGGTCCCAGTACCAACCCCTGAGGGACTCCACTAGTTACAGGCCTCCAACTAGACTCTGTCCCATTGACCACAACTCTGACTTCTTTCCTTCAACCAATTCACAATCCACCTCACTACCTGGTCATCTAGACCACACTTCCTCAGTTTAGCTGCAAGGATGCAGCGGGAGACGGAGCAGATTGTCTAGAAGAATCAGGAGGAGGTCCACTCCACCTCTGTGTCATCAGATGGACTGGATGATTCAACTTCTATCCCCAAAAATCACTTGGGCAAGAGTCTGAATAGCTCACTGTTAGTAATGCTGTCAGTATCTTTCCTAGAGTAACAGCATTGAGTCATTTTACTAGAGGATGAGTTTAGAAGCTTTTGGATATGACTTTTCTTGAAATGCAGTCACTATCCTTGTTTAAAGCTAGCAGTATGTGCAAAATTTTGCTCGGACATCTGGCTAGAAGTGCTCATTAATTAGTCCTGTATGTAAGATTGCAGTACAAGTATTTTGCATCCTGTGCAAATTGCCAGATAAGTAGTGAAGTTAAATAGACGAAGCTGGCAATTTAAAATTGAGCTTTACGGTCTTCAGGCTAAATGTTGATGTTTGATAATGTACTGTAGCCATTAAAACTTGCTCTTTTTGCATCTTACTGTGACAAAGACGATTCACACTGCATGTAGTTGCAGAGTAGTGAAAAATGTGCCTGTTCACCTACAAGTAGAGGCTCGTATAAACCACCTTAAATCAATCCATAGCTATGGTAGTTTATGTGATAGAAGTGAGTAGAAATAGATTTACCTTTCTGCATGCAGCAGCTGTTCTGTCTTGTAAGCAGACATTTTTACTTGTTATCAAGTTCTTCAGTTTGCAGTAGCGTTATGTCAGCAGCTGAAAGAAGCATACAGAGAGGAAAGAAGAAACCAAACCAAATTTGAGAAGAAAAAAAATGGGGAGAGTGACAGCTTTGAATCAAATTCTTTTTTTGTGTGTGTTTTGTGCTTTTTTTAAGGTCCAAGTCTCCCTATAGTGCCTCATCTTACTCTAGAAGTTCATATACTTACTCCAAGCCAAGACTCGGTTCTTCCCGCGCTCGCTCCTACTCTCGATCATTTAGTCGTTCCCATTCTCGTTCCTACTCGCAATCACCACCGTATCCAAGAAGAGGCAAAGGGAAGAGGCATAACTATCGTTCTAGGTCAAGGTCACGTGGTTATCACAGTTCAAGGTCAAGGTCACCCACATACAGAAGATACCATTCAAGGTCAAGGTCTCCAGTAGTTAGAGGCCTGTCTCCCACTAAACAGGCTATACCTCAAGGGGAAGGAGAAGGGGAGTATTTTAACAGATACAGAGAAGTTCCACCATGTGATATGAAAGCTTATGATGGCAGCTCTGTTGACTTTGGACATCCATTTGAAAAGGAGAGATACGAAGAATGGGAAAGGTACTACAGAGAATGGTATGAAAAGTTTTACAAAGGATATACTGCTGGCACTCAATCTCAACCTCCAGTGAACAGAGAGAACTTTTCTCCAGATAAGGTTGGCCCACCTGTGACCAAACAAGAGAATTCGCCACGTGCTCGGGAACGCAGGGAGGATTATCCTGGTGGGCAGAGCCACCGAAATCGTAATCGATCTGGAAATTACCCTGAAAAACCTTCTGGAAGAGAGAGCCACAGCATCAAAGATCCTACAAAATCAAAAGAGAAGGAGGTGGAAAACCCACTGGGAGATGGCAAAGGAAATGGACATAAAAAGCACCAGAAGAGAAGAAAAGGGGATGAGAATGGAGGATTTCCCAATGCGGAGTTGTTCGAAAGTGTGAGAAAACCAAAAGAGCTGCTTACAGCAGAAGACGTTAAAACAGACTCTCTGTTCGTGCTCCGAAGCAGAGATGGTGCCACCCCCATGAGAGACCACCCTATGGAAGCAGATTCTGTTGCTCTCAAACCTGTGTCTGAAATGGAGAAAAAAGAGACAGATAAGCCAAAATCAAAACTTGACAAGACAAAACAAAAAGTAGAAGTGGCTGTTCCTCCTAAGAAAGACAGTATCATAAAACCAGCTAAAGCTTCTCAAGAGATGGAGGACACCGATGGTGAAAAGTCTTCTCGAATGGAATCTCCTGTGAAAAAAGCGGAGGAGTTGTCAAAGACAGACAATGTTAAAACATCTTCCTATCAAAAGGATGGGAAGGCTCTTGGTACCTCAAGGAAAGTTCACCCAAAAGTGATGAAAGACCACCCAGAAACCAGACCAACCAAGGAGGAAAATGCAAAGAAAGACTATCCAAAAGAAACCAAATTGGAGAAGCCCTCTAACAAAGAGGACAAGTCAAAAAAGCCTGCTGAAAGAAGCAAAGCTTCTGATGCAAAACCTGAAAAAAGAAAAAGAAAAGTAGATGAAAAGGCTGATAAAGAACATGAAGCCACTTCCATAAAGGCCTCTAAACCAGAGACTGATGAATCGAAAACATCACCAATGGCACAGACTAAGCCTGATAGTGAAAAAGGAGAGCAAACTCCAGAAAAGGTTAAATCTGCTCTTCTTAACAACCCCCCAAAAAAGATTAAACTTAACCAAGAAACTGGCAAAGAGGTTGCGAGTGGAGAAAATGTGCCCCTTGCAAAAGAACCTGTTGAGAAACCTGAGCCGAGCAGCAGCAAATTTAAACAAGAAAAAGCGAAGGGAAAAGTGAGAAGAAAAGTAACAGCAGCTGATGGATCTTGTTCAGCTCCTGTAGATTACACCAGGTACCTCATTATTTCTTTTCCTATTCTTTCTTCCCCCCACCTCGCACCCAAAAAAGTACAATTCTTTATGGTGAGTAATGAAAGTAACAGTTAAATTCCTGCTAAATGAGTGAATCATCTACGATCTTTCCTGTCAAACTGTACTTGCATCCAGATCGAATTTGGGTAAAGAAAACAAGCAGTCTGTACTGCACAGAAAGCTCATAACGTTGATTCGTTGGCGATGTGTTTGACCCTTACTTCTGGGACTTTTTTTTCCCCCTCTTCTTACTCATTACATGTTGACTCTTTGAGGAATCCTCTCTATGTCTTCCTTCAAATCCAGCTTACCGTTAAAGGCAAGGATAACAGACATGTCTATACCATGCGATATTTTGCATTTTAAAGATACTTTTGTCAGTATGACATGAGATTATACCTCGCAGAAGTAGCAGCTTGGTTGCCAATATATTGTACCGATTTTAGCTCTGAGCACAGTACCACGTTGACACAACTACTCTGCTTCCAGCTCAGTGCCAACTTGTTTGGCACTTACCTTGGAGATCTCTCTTCTATATTCTGCTGTGTGACATGTGAAAAAAAGAAAAGTGATCTGGTGTGGAGCTGTTATTACTTACATTTCAGCGTCTAAAGAAGCAGCACAAAGCAAACTCAAAACATTTAAGATGTCGCTGAAGCCTTAAGATAGTGTCGTGATAGTCTAAAAAGTTTTTAAAACATATATTTTTCTAAAGAGCACTGGGACACGAGGATAAAACTTTGGTTGTGTATACCTCTCCATAATTGCTTGCTCACATGTTGAAACAAGAATGTGTATCTAATTTATCTGCCATTGGTAGAAGTAAGACGTGAAGGACTTAGCAGATCAGACAGTCCCCGATCTGATAATCTTGTGTGTTTGTTAATTAAATGTAGAGTAGGCAGATACTAAATTAATTGGTCATAATGTTAGCTAGTGGACTCATCCTTTCTCGTTTGTTCCCTTAATTGAACATCTTTTGAAAATAATGAAGATTTAGAATTGAAACAACAGCCATTTTATAAAATGATACAAAAGATGACGGCGAGTCTACCTCACCCGTTAGTAATGTATGCTTTTTCCCTCTTAGCCCTAGTTCTACTGGAGGAAGCCCTGTTAGAAAGACTGAAGAAAAGCCAGATAAAAAACGAACTGTCATTAAAACCGTCGAGGAGTATGGTAATGATGATGTAACAGCCCCTGCTGAAGGTGTCATTATTGCAATCCAGGTCCCTCAGTCAAAGTGGGATAAAGATGACTTTGAGTCTGAAGAGGAAGACATTAAATCTACCCAGGTGCCTGCAAATGTAGGAAAACCTGCTACTGTTGTAAAAAACGTGAGTGCTAAGCCACCAAACCCTGCAAAACAGAATGAAAAAGAGACGGATGCTTTGGAGGAAACACAGAAAACTACAAAAGCAGCAAGTTGTGAAAGCTCCCAGCAAGATGCAAAAAGTCCAAAAGGTTTGATGTTATATGAAAAAGGAAAAACCAAAGACCAGGATCATTCTTTGTCAGACAAGGACACGTCTCAGAAGAGAACAAGCAGTGTTCAGCGAGAAGAAGACCGCTCAGAACATGCAACTGCACAAGGAAATGGAAAAAATATTTCTCAGTCTTCCGAAGACCACAGATCTTCAGAGAAAGAGAACGTGACTGGACAAAACTATAAAAGTGTTGTCAAGCCCAAGCCTCAGGTAAGCAGCTCCTCATGGCTCTCTTCTGATCTAACTCAAGAGGCTGGTGAGGCTGTATTTGGACCAGACTACAATGAAAGTGAAAATGAGAGTAATGTATCTGCAAAAAACGGGGAAGCTGCAGGAAAAATTCCTAAAGAACTGAAAGAAAAGGCTGTTGATAAGGTGGAAGAGGATGCAGCAGCACCCGCTGCAGCTGACCAGCCTGAAGCAAGCAGAAGTCAAAGTCAAAGCAGTTCCAGTGTCAGCCACAGCTGTCATCAAAGCCCTCCGGAGGGTCAGACTCGAAGCCACAGCAGCAGTGCCAGCTCAGGAAAGAGTCAAGGTGGCAAGAAAAAGAAAAAGAAAAAAGAGAAGAAGCAGCACAAGAAGCATAAGAAACACAAGAAACATAAGAAACACATTGGAAAAGAAACCGAATTGGAAAAAAGCCAAAAACACAAACACAAGAAGAAAAAATCGAAGAGCGGCAAAGATAAAGATAAAGATAAAGATAAAGATAAAGATAAAGATAAAGATAAAGATAAAGATAAAGATAAAGATAAAGATAAAGATAAAGATAAAGATGACCAAAGCATGAAATCTGTCACACCATAGAACGACAGATAACAAAAAAAAGACTTAATTCCTAAGTTATCTGTATGAAATTTTGTTAAAATGTAAACAAATTCAAGCGTTGCGTTTTCAGTGACATGACAGACCCCATGCTGCACTTAAAATTGCTGCTTGATTATTTGGTTTTTACGTCAGAGCTTTATGAAAGTGAACATTTTGTACCGGATTGTGAGTTGTGACCGTGTAACATGAGAGGTTTTGCTGGGTCACCTTATTTTTAACCACTGTTAATTAGTTTGGGTGGGGTTTACTGGGAAAACTTTCACAGCTGAATTTTTCTTTAATTGCCTGGCAGAAGGAGCTGGTATCAGTTGTAAAATATCAGCAGAATGATTTGCAGAATACGTTACAGTCCTGTTATGTCACTTTTTGATTGCAATAAAAAGTTTCCAGTGTATCCAATGTGATGATATTTCCAGTGATAGCGGAACATTAGCAAGAGAAAAGACCAGCAACAGAAAAAGGCTGCCAGTAAAAGCTTGCTGGTAGCTAACATGTATGAAAAATAACGTATCAATGGGTTTAATGTTGAAATGACAGGTGAGACTTCGGCTCTTTTGAACTGATGCCGTGTGGGGAGGTACTGCCAAGGAGCGCACTTTTTTTCACACGCCAAATGGACTTGGGTTTATATTGTAAAAGGTAGTATATGGCCCCAAACGTAAAGCCACTACTCACAGCTGGTACTGACTGTTTTAAAATAACATTATGTGTGAAGCTGTCACGTTTCAACATTGTTCCAGTTGTTCAGAAACCTGTTGTCATTTGCCAGCAAACATTTACACATATACTTGAGATGCCCTGTAATCTTTATTTCCCCTCATAACTGTGCTGATCACCAAGATGTTTGTGATTTTTAAATAGAAGCTTTATTATTAGCGTTTTGATATGGTGGTGCTGTGATACAGGACTAACCCTTCCATTAAACAGGGGGTTCAGCAGGTGAGTTTGGCAGAAGAAGAAAGCCCACTAGAAAGGCAGGCTGCTGCTTTGGCTGCTTTGAACAATGACAGGAAATCTAGGAAATGTAGTTTTGATTAGCTTGATAATTTTAAGAGAGGCATCATTCGAAAAAAAACCCACCAAAAAACGTGACAGTAGTGGTTGTTACTCAGTGTCAGCAATCCAGCATGGTAAGAAATGCTTCTTGTTGTGCATTAAGGGCATAACATCCCGGTAACAATGGAATTCAGTAATGAAATCCCTCCACTGTTTGGCTATGGGATTTGCCCCAAAAAGAGTTCTGTGTGGAAGTACTATAAATTAAAGCAGCATTTTAGGGCTTCCTGCTTGTGGAGACTTATTTTGTTCAAAAAGTGTCGTTGTTTGCAAGCGCTCTCGCTCGGGTATTTAGCAGTAGAGAACTAGTAAACAGGAATAGTAATAATTCATCTTGCTTTTCAGTGGGGGTGACTATCATGTTTTAGATACTGGGTTAGTGATTGATCATCCTGCACTTCTGATGGTTAAAACAAGAACAAACCACAGTCAGTACTGGATATCACTTCCTGAAGTTTGTGCCTTTTCATGTCGAGGCGTTCTTGGTGGACTTCAGCTGTTTTCTGCAAAAGGTGAAGCGGGCTTTCCACTCAAATTTTTGCTCCCCAGAATCCAAAAGCACAGGTCTGCAGCAGCTGTTAAGTGTGCCCATCCAGCATTTCCTGGGTGTGGGCCAGGGAACTTGTATCACCAAAGCAAACATCAGATACATGGGAATTTAAGGCAGCCTCAGACCCTCCCTTTCCATAATCTGTGCTCACGACGATGAAGCCATTGAAAACAGAAGATTTATTTTGCACCGTTCTCTGTGAACATACTTTGGCTTAATGAAATACAAAAAATTTAGGATTCAGTGAAATGAAATTCTTATTTGAGTTGGAATGTGTTAAGCATGCTTTATTACCAACGTTCAGAATAATTAGTAAACTGGCAGGGAGGGAAAATTTTGGACATTTTTTATCAAATAGCTCCATAAACCCAGGCAAAATTGTGCATTTTTAAATAACCTTGTGCCAAAAAACTGTAGTCGCAGCCTGTTTCAGTTAAACTCTCCTCTGTTTTCAGAGCACTATAGCAGCATTACTGATTATTTTTCAGTCTCCTGTGAATTTAGTTCACTCTGCACGTGGAGTTTCTTATGATTCCTTTTTTACGAGTATCTTTGAGCTGAAGATGGCTGGAATGCAGTTATGAGTAGGCTTGAGTAGGTAGTTTTTACTACAGTTGTGTTTAGAAATCTGAATTCGTGACGTTTTTATGCAGTGCCTACAGTGGTGTGAAGGGCTTTGTCTGCACAGGGCTCCCCGGATGAGGGTGAATACTGGAACGCATTTGACTTCAGGTGGTGAAATGCAGTTAAGACGGTTTTAACTGCAGTGAAGGAAAGCACGCTTACCGAGCAAAATAAGTTGGGACTGTTGTTCAGACGTAAGAAACAGATGTTGACTGCGTGACTAAATTCAGTATGTTCCTTCTGGAACAGTGCTGCTTGGTCACCTACTGAAGATTAGTGTGGTCCATTCCACAGAAACGATCACAGATCTCTACATCTTTCTTCAGAGAACCCTTGGACCAACATACTTCATCTCCCATCTTCAGCTGAGGCCAAATGTGTCTGACCGGTTTGAACATCAGTACGTTCAGGCAGGAACTCTTGAGCTGGTAAAGCTCAGGGAAGAAAGAAGGTGGTTTGAAAATCTAAGTGGAAATGACCAAACAGAAAACTACCCCAAAGTGGGCGACAGGCTCATAGGCTGTCATTCACAACGCTGAAATGAAAGAACTGTGTGAAAAAGCAAAGGCATAAGGCACAGGGTAATGTCATACCATGGGTAGGGATAAAATTGAGAAACCTAGGACTCCAGGTGAATTTTAGTAAGAACCCTTAAAAGTTGTTTTGCATTTTAAAAGTAAAGGCTAGGAAGGAAAAGCTTATAGCCATTGCTTAACCAGAGGGAAGCAATAATGGTTGAAACTACAGTGGCAAATACACTTTTCCTTAGTCTTCGCCGGAAAAGGTTGATTGTAACCAGCTTCAGAGAAATTTAGTTTAGTAAAAGACCAGGATCACAGGCAAGAGAGAAAAGTATGTTAAAGAATGTTCAGATAAAACATCCACTTGAATACTACGGGCACCAGCCAAAGTGCCATTTTTAAACTGAAGGACAGTGTTACATCTCAGATGGCTGAAGAGCAAACCCTGTGCCTGCCTTCAAAGGGGAAAAGAATTTCAATGTATTTACGTATTTGTTGTAATATCAATCCGAATTTGGCCGAATATTTTATAGTGTATAAGCACACAGGAGATAACAGGATGAAGAACAGTCACGATCAAACTGAAGAACAAGAGTCAGACCCAACCGTGTCTCTGCAAACTCTGGTTGTGAGGGCACGGGGTGGAAGTCTGAGCTCTGCCACGGATTAGGAAATTCAGCCACGGGGCCTGTGTGCCACGTGGCTGCACACCTACGGACACACGGGCTCCTTGCAAAATGGAGGTGAAGCTGCTTTAGGTTGAAACACTTCTGTGAACGTGGTGATCGTGCCCATGGTTTGTATCATACCCCATCACGGTTGGGCTTGCCCAGGCAGTTGGGGATCTGGAGTTCGTGCTCTCAGCCTGAAGCTTCACAGCTGTATCGCTCCCTACACCTCTAGGACCGAGACAGAGACTCGCAGAGCAAAGAGAACACACGTGGGAGCTCCTCACTCTACCCGTGCAGCTGGGATGCTCTGTGGCATCAGGATGAATTCTGGGCTTTGACAAGGAGGTATTGAGCCTGAGGTGCAGGAAGGGAAACTTGGGGTAGACATCAACACTGATGTTCAGTAAGGATGGTAAAGGGCTGGACTGGCTTCTGCCGGCAGTTGCAGAACCTCCTGCGCCGAGCAGAAGGCAGGCTTGCACCAGGAGGGCTGGGAGCTGAAGCTGGCACTGGTGCAGCTCCTGGCCAGGTACGCGCTGTGGGCAGAGTTCCTATTTGCTAATTCTTATTTCTTTACCATATCCTAGGCTAGGTAAGTGGCAGAGCGGCAGTAGTCTGAGGCGCTGGGCTCAGTCTAGAGTGACGAGAAGCCCACCCTGGTAGAGGTAGGAAGGGAGACAGAAAAGGAGCACATCCAAGAGAGCTGGTAAAGTAGAGGCCGAAAGCCGGTCGCTCCGGCACACAAGGTGGTAAAGCGTGGGCTGGAGAGCCGGAGGGCTCTGCTGCTAGTGCTGGCAACAGGTCAGCAGCAGGTCCTTTTCCAAGAAGGTGACACACAATGCAGCCTTCCAAAAGGGCCTTGGTAATTGGAGCCCTGTGACAAGGGACAGCAGGGCCACCAGCCTGCAGCTCTGCAGCAGTTACGAGTACCACCGAAACACTTTTGATGGCGGGCACTACTCTTTGGGTTGTGTTCAGGGGTTTTTTTAAATCATTTTGTTGAGCTACAGTTATTTCTTTGTCATCAGGTGAAAGGATTGGCACCGATCTCCTCTTTCTGGAGCACATCCTGACATCCTTTGTCATCCAGAGCTTTCCCCTCTGTTCCCGAGAGGAACGATGGCCACAATGGGGAATGACTCCTGTGAGTAAGGGCTTCACCAGCAGCCCTGGACTTTGTGAATCTCCAAAGGCAATGGAAGTGGCTGGTGCTCCGTCCCTGGCTGTCGATGCACTGACCACCTGGAGTGCATTCCGGGGCATTTCCTGATAGCAGCCAGACGTATCCAGGTGTTTTCGATTAGACAAAGGAAAATGTGTTTTGTCACTCCTCTGCCACTGTTTCCAAGGCTTCAAAAGATGACATTGGTCATAGAAAGATCTGACATCTGTAGAGTTTACCATCTGTGCGAGGTACTTCCTTCTTTTCATCAAGTTTCAATCAGGAAAAGGGAAGACTTGACCTGATAACCCAGTTCAAGACTTTAGAGGGAAAGGAAGGTAGCCCGAGGCACAGAAATCAGAGCGTGCGTTTGTTGGGCTTTTAGCAAAACAAGC